CATGCCTTCATTACATCGAGGCTCAACTGCAAACTCATTGCTTGTTGGCCTCCCCAACTCCTCCCTCCACAGGCTGCAGATCATCCAGAACTCTGCAGTCCGTGTCCTCTCCCGCTCTCGACTCTGTGACCCTATCACCTCCATCCTTGCCCAACTCCATTGGCTTCCCATCACAGAGGATATAGTTCAAGATCCTGGTCCTCACCTTCAAAGCCCTCCATGATCTTGCTCTCCCTTACCTCTCCGACCTCCTAACCCCCTACCATCTTGTTCTCCCTTCGCTCAGCGGGCTCTGGCCTGCTTCACGTCCCCGCTTTGCTCGCCCCACTATCGGCGGGCGGGCCTTCCTCCACTCTGCACCCACCCTCTGGAACTCCATCCCGCAGTCCCTCCGTCTCGCCTCCTCCCTCGCCACCTTCAAGACCCACCTCAAGACCCTCCTCTTCGATTATGCTATCGATCTCCCTGCTTCCCCCTCTGCCCTCCCCCACCCCAACCCTCAGCTCGGGTCCGAAACTCTGTCTGTCCAGCACCTTGGGACGTCCTCCCAACATGAAAGGCGCCATATAAATGTAATTTTGTTGTTGTTCTTGTTGAGTGCTCTAACCATTGAGATACAGTACTCCACATGCACTTAAGAGTTGTCATATCATGGAGGGGAATATAATGGATGCACTGAGATAGTGTAAGTGTCGAGACAAAGTGGAATTGATCAAACGTTAGCTTGAAATACTGTACTCAATAGAAGAATGTGCACAAGAAATCAAAAAATGTTCAGACCAGTATATTCAGGAATCATTTCTCTAATCCATCTCTACCATCTACCAGAAAATCACAGCAGTGACCATTAGGGTTATGTACATTGTTTATCATTATGGTACTGTAGCTAAAATTTCAAAAGGTTACAAGCTTTGCCAGCCCAAAATATCCAGTTGAATAACACAGAAATTTCATCTCTGACCGGAACCATATGGATAAAAATTTTGTTGAGCAGTATGTGTATTGCCTTTGGCAATGTGGGTTACCAATGGGAGTTCCCATTAAAATTGTGCACCACGTATTTTTACCCCAGAGACATTTTATAATTTGATTTCTCTAGACCTTCCATTTTTGAGAGGACTGTAGAGAGGTTCTACATCGTTGCATTTCATACAGATGATATTATATGTAGAAGAGCTTCCTACCTAAATTGAAACAAATAACCCAGATCAAAATTCCTGATAGCCTAGTCTTCTCCACTCTAATGCCTGTGGGTTGTCATATACAGTAGATCCAGTGTGTGAGTTTTGTACTGGTGGAATTAAATATATTCCAATTATGTAATTCATAAAATAATGAAAATAATTAGAGGTCTTGTTCAATTAACATGATTATGATATAACCTTCCGGCTGATCTCTGAATCCTTTATGAGAAATGGGAACACAGAGAAATATGTTCGTCGTCCTGCTTTGTTCGATGCAAGTACCGTTTTACAAACATCTCTCTCCATTTGACATTGACAGAAGACGCTGAGAAACACAGTCGACATTGCCTCTGCTTTCATAGGTGGCAAACATAGGCCATGCACGATCATAGAATCATACAATTATACAGCGCAGAAAGAGGCCATTTGGCCCATCGGGTCTTTGCCGGCTCTTTGAAAAGAGCTATCCTGATCAAACCTGTTCCCCCGCTCTCTGTCCCAACTTGTCTCCCAAGTTTGTGATGATCTCTGCTCCTGGTTACCCCAGCTAGTCGGCTAGGTACCTCCCTTCCCTCAAGGCACAAGTACGAGCTGCCAAACGCGCCTGGACCAAATCCAAACTTACGGTCCATCTGCAGATTTGGCTTCACCACACCAAGATCTACCGCTCCGCTCTTGCCTCCGACAAATCCTCCTTCTACTCTAAGGTTATCTTAGAGGCAAAGGACAACTCCCGGCTTCTCTTTTCCACCATTAACCGTCTCCGACGTCCACCTTCCCATACCTCGCCCATTCTCTCCTCAAACTCCAACTGTGACGAGATGCTGGACTTCCTCAAATCTAAAATCGAGGGGATACGTTCAGCCATCTCAACCCCGTCCACAGCCACCCCCACATCACCTCTCCCTCATGACCCACCCCCCACCCATACCTCCTATACTCCTTCGACCCGATCTCTCCTTCCTCCCTCACCGCAACTGTCCACAAACTCAAACCCACCACCTGCTCCCCACCTCTCTCCTCGTCTCCCAGCTCCACCTTCTGGCTCCCCTCCTGTCCAATGTCATCAACCTCTCCCTGTCTACCGGTTCAGTTCCCACCCCCCTAAAAACAGCCGTCATCAGCCCCATCCTGAAAAAACCTTCCCTGGATCTATCCCTCCTCTCCAGCTACAGCACCATCTCTAACCTCCCATTCCTCTCCAAGGTCCTGGAACGAGTCATCGCGACTCAGCGCCACTCCTTTCTCCCTCGCCATTCCCTCTTTGAAGCCCTCCAATCTGGCTTCCAGCACGGAAACAGCCCTGGTCAAGTCACTAATGACATTCTACTACACTATATACACTACACTACATACACTACACTACATACATACACTAATGACGTGGAGTTCTGTAGCTCAGTGGTTAGAGCACTCGCTTTGCAAGTGAGAGACCTGAGTTCAATTCCAGGCAGAGGGCGAAACCTTGGGCAAGTTTCCTTACTCCACACAGAGCCTAATAATAATCCCTCCAAAACCAAAAATAATAATAAATTGGTCATTTTCAATCTTCGACTGTTTGTGGAACATTGCTGTGTGCAATTGACTGCCGCGTTCACCCACAAATATACAGTCAATTCACTTTACAGTGTGTTCTGTGAAGCGCTTTGGGACGTCCTCCCGACGTGAAAAGCGCTATATCAAATGCAAGTATTATTATTATTCTGAACATCTGTGATCAGGGCTCCCTCTCCCTTCTTGTCCTCCTCGAGCTCTCTGCCGCCTTCGCTCATACGCAGCCTCTCCGCTTTACTCAATCTTTATGGATCTGCTCTTGCCCGGTACAGTTCCTATCTCTCTCACCGTCTCCATTTCGTTGCCTCTAACAGTTTTTCCTTCAGCCCCTGCACTGTCACATCTGACACCATCTCTAACCTCCCATTCCTCTCCAAGGGTTCGGTCCTTGGCCCTCTCCTCTTTAATATCTTCATGCCCCCCCTTGGTGACATCATCTGCAGACATAGGGTCAATTTCCACATGTATGCGGATGACACCCAACTCTATCTTTTTACCTCCACCCTCAACTCCAGGACCACTGCTGTTCTGACAGACTGCCTGTCGGACATCAAGTCCTGGATGAGGGCAAATTTCCTACAGTTGAATGTGAACAAGACTGAGGCTCTCCTGATTGGTTCGCATCAGCGCCGAAGCAACTCAGGCTCCGGCAACATCAACCTCCATGGTTGCACACTACAACTCACTAAGCCAGTCAGGAACCGAGGTGTCTTGTTCAACCCTCAACTAGCTTTTCTGCCCCACATTCAACCTATGACCCGCTCTGATTTCCCTCACCTCCGTAACATCACCCTACTCCGCCACTACCTCACCCCTCAGGCCACTGAAACTCTTGTTCGTGCCTTCATCACCTCCAGGCTCGACTATGCAAATGCCCTACTTGTCGGCCTTCCCAACTCCTCCCTCCACAGACTGCAGATAATCCGAAACTCTGCAGCCCGTGTCCTCTTCCGCACCAAACTCCATGACCCCATCTCCCCCAACTCCACTGGCTCCCTATCCTTCTGAGGATCCAATTCACGATCCTGGTCCTCACATACAAAGCCCTCCATGGCCTCGCCCCACCCTACCTCTGCGACCTCCTAACCCCTTACCAACCCGCCCGTTCCCTCCGCTCAGCCGGCGCTGGCCTGTTCCACGTCCCCCGACCCACCCGCCCCACCATTGGCGGGAGAGCCTTCAGCCACTCTGCCCCCAACCTCTGGAACTCCATCCCCCGGTCACTCCGCCTCGGCCCCTCCTTAGCCTCCTTCAAGTCCCGCCTCAAGACCCTCCTCTTCGACCATGCCATCGGTCACCCCCCTTCCCCTCCCACCAGCTCGGGGTCTGAAATGCTGTACACTGTCCAGCCACTTGGGACATCCTCCCGACGTGAAAGGCGCTAAACAAATGTATTGTTGTCGTTGTTGTCGGTAGGGCTGCCTGGCAATCCATGCTCCAGGAGTCACTGTCCGGGTTTTGTACCTGACCCCCGGGCCTGGACAGGTTCCTGTGAAGGACGTGTCTCACGTGGACGTGACGCCCCACACGGGTACTACGTCATGGAAAGCAAACGGCCGAACCATTCCTCAGCCCCTCCCCCTCCCTCCCCCCCCCCCCCCCCCACACACACTGAGACAATCAATATGTCGAGCGGGTGCACTTGTGCCCGTACCTCTCCTCACACCCTCCCCCCCCCCCCCGTCCGCAGCTCGCGCGCCCCGCCCGCCCGCCGCACGTCAATCACGGCCCCGGGGAGGCGCTCTTCCCTCCCTCCCTCCCTCCCTGTGACGTGTCTGCGCTCTCCGCGAAGCACTGCGAAGGAGGCGGTCGAGCGGGTGCGGAGAGGCGCTACCCCGCATGCGCGGTTGCGGACGGGAAGCCGTGGCTGAGCTCCGCGCCCTTTCCGGTGCTGCTGCAGCGCGAGCGAGCGAGCGACCGACCGACCGACCGACGGATCGACGGAGCGGGAGAGCAGTGGGAGTCAGTCAGCCTCGGGGGCGGGGAGGGAGGCAGGGCGGGGGGTGGCCTTGGCTCGAGACGAGACGAGCGAGACCGAGACTCGGCTGGAAAATTCGTGCAAAGATAAACCCTCATCTGTCGGGAGATCGGCCACCGACCGACCGACCCACCCGGTGCCGTCGTCTCGACGCGGGAGTGTGGGTTGTGTGTGGTGAAGAGAAGAGGAAAAGAGAAGAGTCGCATCGATCGAGGAGGGGTGTGTTGTGAGAGAGAGAGAGAGCGACACAGAGAGAGAGAGAGAGAGAGAGAAAACCTGCCTTTCCTGCAGAGAGAGGAGGGTGGGGGGGGGGAGGGAGCTCGAATGAATGACCTTTGGGAGGAGTGTTAATGCCGGCGCTGTGATCACGGTCACGGTCCCTCACAGGGCGGACGAGGTGCGGACATTTAGTTCTTCCATCGACGGGGTGGGGGAGGGGGGGAAAGAGAAGGACGGTGTGTGGAGGAGCCGGGGCCGGGCGGCGGGTGCCGGGCGGCAGGAAACGACCCCCTTTTTTTTCTCTCTCTCTCTCTCCGCCGAGGCCTTTTCCTTCTTCTTCTTCCTCCACCACCACCACCACCTTCTCCCTCTCCACCACCACCACCTACTCCTCCTCCTCTCTCACGATCGATCGATCGATTGACTGACTGACCGACTCCCTCCCCTCCCTCTTCGCTGCCGCGAATCTCTTTATGTACTTTCGGAAAGATGGGAAAGGCGCTGTCGAGGATTTTCGGGAACAAGGAAATGCGTATATTGATGCTTGGACTTGACGCGGCCGGGAAGACCACCATCCTGTACAAACTGAAGCTGGGCCAGTCCGTCACCACCATCCCCACGGTGGGCTTCAACGTGGAGACAGTGACTTACAAGAACGTCAAATTTAACGTGTGGGACGTGGGCGGTCAGGATAAAATCCGGCCTCTGTGGCGGCACTACTACACCGGGACCCAGGGATTAATATTCGTCGTGGACTGTGCCGACAGGGACCGGATAGACGAGGCCCGGCAGGAGTTGCACCGCATCATCAACGACCGGGAGATGAGGGAAGCCATCATTCTGATCTTTGCGAATAAGCAAGACCTGCCCGATGCCATGAAACCGCACGAAATCCAAGAGAAATTGGGTCTGACCCGCATCCGGGATAGAAATTGGTATGTGCAGCCGTCCTGTGCCACTTCAGGAGACGGACTGTTTGAAGGTCTTACGTGGCTAACGTCCAATCACAAATCTTAATGAGTGTATGAAACTGTTTAGACAAAAAAAAACCTCTCGGAAGAATATATAATGAGAGAAGTAACGTGGGATTATGATCCTGACCCTTCACTAATCACCTTTGTTTGATTTTTTTGGGGGAATTTAACTGGCATTTAGTTTGGCTTTGCTTTAGAAAGTTTCATATGAATGCGCTGAACTAATCTTAAGAACTTGAGAATTTAAGGGTTCAGAAAAGGTCGTATTTTAAGTAATTTGCCATTATTTGAATAACTTCCCTTTATGTACTATCGTTTGGGTTTTTTCATTTTTAAAAAAAAATATGCTTCTCAGTTTCGAGTTCTTGCTTCTTCCTTTAATGGCTTGCTGTAGATTGCTTAATTTACATTCATGCAAACGTATGATGTCAGGTCTATTTCAATTAGTAAACTTGAAAGCTTATTTGAACAAATATAATTCGTCTCTACATTTTATTTGCCTACTTTGTTTTCTGACTCCAATCACAAGCAAAAAAATCCTGTCATTTATACCCTAGTTTGAGGATCCAAGAAAACCAGGGTTCAGATCTGTGAGGGATAAATTAATTATTAGAGATGACTACAATATTAAAAAAAAGCACAGCTGGTCAGTCAAATAGCCAGTTTTGAGGGTTTAGACATAAAATGATGAGCATTATCTTTCAGATATTCATTGACTAGCTGTCCTGTCTTGTTTTTTTTATGTTTGAAATTTCTGGGAATGTGTGCTTTATTTAATTGTGGACAGGGTGTGTCCAAATCAAATATCACTTCGTAATCTGCCTAGATCCAGTGCAAAAGTATTTACTAGCCAATAAGTCAAAATATTCATTTTCTGCTACAAAAAATAGGTACAGTTCAATAAGTTTGAAAAAAATCCAGGTAGTCTTTTTGCCACTTAGGTGGCTGATTGTTATATAGTTACTCTGAATGCTTCTATTGCATAAGTAAGCTTTTTTTAATTCCTGCTGTATTTTTTTTATGAGTGCACATGTATGCTGCTTCTGACCATATTGATACAACACAAGCAAAATTGTGCATTGTACTGTTTCCATACAGAGGTTCAGAATGTGTTGTGACATCTTTTTCTGCCTCCCAGGAATCAAAATGGCTTCTGATACCAAAAACAGTTAATTTGTAACAGTTTTGTCCAATGGAATGATGACTCCAGCATGTACAATATTACACATTAAAATGAAATAAATATGCCAAACATCAGGTATTAAAACAACAATTTGCTGTATATTCGAATTATGCATCGACCTAAAGGGAGTGTGTTAGCGCTAAAGCAGAATTTCAATAAAAAAGTGAACAGAAATGTTGAACCGCACCCTTTCTGCAGAAATGTTAAACCACACCCCTACAAACTTTGATGTGTTACCCTGTAGATGGTTACGAGAAATTTGCATTGCTCAATGAGAGGATATTTAGTTTTTTTTTGTGCCACTGCGTTAGTTCAGTTGATGGTGTTCTCAGTAGCTTCCTTCTGAGTGCTATCAGATGTGATTTCCTGTCTCTGTGGCTTTCTGCACAGAGAAAACTTGGGGGAGGAGGCCAGTTTGATTATGATGTGAAAGTCTTCATTATTCAAAAAAAATTAAATGTTCGATTCATTTAAACTTGCCAATAAAAATTGAAGTTCAAGTAGGCAATTTAGCTGCAGGTTTAGTATTTCAAAAAAGGGTGAAACTCGAAAACACATAAGTAATTTCTGGTTCTAAAATTTTCAAAATTGTGTAGTTTCTGAATAGATAAGATGCTAGCAAACAGTTTAAACTGCTTTATTAAAATGTACAAATGCATGTTCAAGTAATAGGAAGATGAGGCTTGTGTCCCCTTTCCAAATACCCATACTTATTTCTGCTACGTAATTTGGAGCAGCCAATTTATTTGGAAATTGTATTGTAATTGAATGGATGCCAATTTAGTGCTAGTTGCATGTACGTTTTTAATCCATTTTTTGGGAGGGGCACAGTAGGATCAGTTGATGGGTTCATCAGATTAGTAATTCATAATGCATAACTCCTTGGCATATGAAATGATTCCACTCAATTGTATTAATTGCCAAACTGAAACTAGTGGCAGAATTAACTAAGCACAAATTTGACTGGTCAGTACATCAGAATGCAGTCAACATTGCACTGAAATTGATACACCTTTTGAGCCTTGACTATGATGCCCCCACGGGCGGCCATCACTTGCTGCTTAAGCTCAAAATGTGAAGAATGGGTCAGGTAAGAACAATTAATCATCTGTGAAACAATACCGTTGCCTCGAAGTGGGGAGAATTGGCACGAAAAATAGCTTCAAGTGGGAATTATGGATGCCTGTAATGAACCTCAAAACTAGTGTTTCTAACTTGTTACAACCAATGTCCTGCTCAATGGCCACTCTCAGGAATGCTGCAGCACACCGCACCACAGAGTGGTTGTTTGAACCTGTGATTTTCCCACCGGTGAACCCCTGATTTCAATCATGTCACTTTAGGGAATTTACTATGTGGCGGTCAGACATTTTCCCCCAAAGAACAGGGAGTAGAGTAGTAATATACAGCTCTTTCACCTACTTTATGGAATGCATCAATCTCCCAGCAACAAGAAGAGGTGAGGGAGCAGCCAGCAGGGTGTTTACACCCACAACTGATCTCAACCTTTGTGGTATAATTTAGTAGCCTGGCACTAATGGAGCATAGGTGTAGGAGTTCAAAACTGGCCTGTATGAAAGATGTGCTTAATGACTAAAGGCAAAATATGTAATTCTGCTTATCCAAAAGGTGAGCATTGCAAAAATATTTTACGTTGTGCATATGGGCTGCAAAATGATTTCTACATGTGAAATATCAAATTGTCATTATATGACTAGCACAGTAATTTAAAGCTGTGCCCTTTTAACACTTGATGCCTGACTAAGACGTGACCATCTCTAACTGTCAGAGTCATAGAAGTCATCAAACAGTTTCATTTGGGTAAATGTGTTCATAGTTGGGACTAATTGGTAACTTCAAAAGCCACAAGGGTGACTGATGTGGAAAATGGATGAATACACGAGTGATTCACTCCAAAACGTAATTAATACTATTGTCTTTTCAAAAGAGAAAATCTTAGTGGATGATGCGTATAATAATGGTACAAATGGTAATTGCTCTTTTTCTTTCATAAAGCATACAGTTAAAAATGTTCGCTTTAGGATTGTCATTAACTGATTTCTGGCTCAAAATATCACCTGCACTCTCTTCTTCAGTGAATATCCCATATTTAATTACATTGTGCAACCAAGTGTTTCTAATGGGTCGATACTACTTGAAAATTGCTTTAATCTCATTAGAATATGGATCTCTTATCAGTAATTTGCAGAATATACAGATGTTTGTCTTAAATATTCAAAATCTGCAATGCCTTATTTACAGATTAACATTGTATAATATCTGTTGTCTCTCACTTTATGTACAGAGAATAGTGTAAATTACCATAATGTCTCTTAAATTCATTTTTTTAATGTAATTGAATATTCATGCTTTACTTTTCAAAATTGAAGAAAATGCCCCATTAATCTGTTCTAAACATTGAACACTAGAATTTGTCAACTAGCATTCGGGACATAATTAAATGTGTTTCAACTTGAAATTTCATTTGGAATTGTCTCGTCAGTATAAGCTAGTGCATTTTCTGGGGTTCCTACAAAAGGGTGATATATACTGTTAAAAAGTATTTGTGTTCTTCATACTTGACTTTGTGCTGAGAGGAAGAATATCTTGCTCCAGGCCTCCTGTATTGTAATTTGGCAACAAAAAGCGCATGAGCAGTCTGGGTTAGCTTGTCCTCTAGATTTCTCCTTTTTTACTGAAGTGTCTCATTGGCAATTTTCAAATTCTTACTTCAATTTAGTATGGGTTCATGCTCTTAAAATTATTAGGGGGGAAAAATTATTCCCTTTGTCCAAAGTTGGTTGATAGTAAAATCCGAAAACCTTGCCTTAAAACTTGTGTGGTTAACACTGCATGTTTTACAATAAAGGACTTAAACCCTGATATTATTTACAAGTTTCCAAAGCTTAAATTTGGGATATAGATGTTAAAATCAAGTATTTCCAGTAGATTCTTGAAACTATCTATGAAATTTGTATTAAATTCACAAAAAGTGAATGCAGATTTTGCATTTGATTGAAAGCTGAAGCCCTTTGTGCAAAGGAAATTTTGGTTAATAAAATACATGTATTGACTTGCAGGGTCCATTTGGTGTTTTTCTTTACATGCATCTAATGAAATCTAAGGTGTGATTCAGAACTGATATAATGCACATTATATTAGTGTGTTTGTGTGTGTGTGTGTGAGAACTTGGCAGAGAACATTGTGAAAACCCATGTAATACAAATGATTAGATTTCAAATCAATGGAAATGTATTGTAATAGATGAGGAAGCAATGTTTAAACATGCACAGTTCAACAAAAAGTTCTGAATTTTTTACACACAATTGGAACCGATCTGGAATTTCAGATAATACAGTAAAGTACAACTGTCTTGTAAGTCCCTGAGAGAGGTCTTCTGTGTGTAGTGTTATTTGTGTGCTAAATTCGGATTAATGAACAGTGCTCAAATTGAGTCTTTCTGTTAATTACCCATGGCTTTCTTTATCAAGGAGGTAATTATTTGTAGCGTACCCTGCATTCAAGAACAATGCTGAATTGTTGAATCTGTGGCAGCTCTTTATCAGATGCAGAATAGGTAATACTTAAGCCAGTTGGAACAAACTATGTCCATCGTTTGGATGCTTAATTTTTCATTTGAGCATACTGGTAAGTCAATGTTGTAGTGGTCTGAAATAGCAAATGGTTCAATATAAGATGAAAGGTGCTACCTTTTTTTCTTTCATTTCTGATTGAAATCCTGAATGACATATTGCTCCACTCCAAATGCAGGGATTATGCTATTAATACCCTTTTAAATAAAAATTGAACAAATAATGGGTGTTTTCTAAAGCTTTGTATCCCACCCTTTGTTTATTTCTTCGTCCTCTCGCCCCTTTCACAATATATGTCCACAGTTCTATGAATAAATACAAAAAGATTGTAGATAATGTAATGGTAGGAATGAGGTGGTTGTCTTTAATGTCTCACACAGTGAGTTCATAATGTTAGCCTTGTCAGTGTAAGCCAGGTACTGAATGGCGCTTTGGATTCTTCCCAAGCCAGAATTGGAAGTCTTCAAGAGAATAAATACAGTATCAACCGAACAATTGGGTGGGTACATTTTAGAGCAGCCTTGGTGGTTGCCTATCTTCCTTCTGCAGACTTTCGAATGGGATGTGTTAAGAGGGTAAGTGTTTAGTAAGTGAGGAAAAACAGAAAAGTTAATTATATGCCTCTTTCAAGGCACGTCTTAAGACCCTCCTCTTCAACCGTGCTTCGGCCATCCTCCCTGCCTCCACTCTCCCTTACCCCAATCCCCCGTCCACTCGGGTCCAAATCCCTGTCTGTCCAGCGTCTTGGGATGTCCTCCTGATGTGAAAGGCGCTGTACAAATGCAATTTTGTATTGTATTTTGCTTTCTTATTAAGCAGTTTTGGCCATTTTTTTTTTAAAAAGCTTAAATTTAATCCATTATTATCAAATAGAAGATTGTTTAACTAAGTAAAGCTTTCAGTCACTGGTCAAAGATAGTCTGCTGATCCTTTTTATAGGTGTGTTGAAAAATTGTATTAGTAGCAGCATTAATAGCAGATAAGTGTTAGTTCCAAGTATCTGCACAATTCCGTTTTTTTGCATAGAAGCAGTGAAGCGTAGGAAGTCAGCCAAGTGCTCCTTGCCCCGAGGTTACAGTTCTCTTTGGAGATAAGCTTTGCTTAGTGTGCAGCAGCTGCATAGTGTGGAAAATGTAAACCCATAAGATTTTTTTGTTCGATTACTGTAAAACATTCCACAACATGCACTCATCCCACCTATCTTAACTTCTAAAGGTTTGAGCAAAAATGCTTTACATTGTACTCATTTGTCTTTCAGAGGCTAGAATGTTAATTTCGGCATCAAATATTTTAGCTAATAAAATTCTGAACATACGGAACTTGAACAATGCTATCAAACCTGATGCAAAACAATGTCAAGTACAATGTCATCTAGATCCTTCCACTTCAAAGTCAAAGGGTAGTTTTCTAAAAAGTGATTTGACAAGACACGCATCAGAAGATGAGACCACTAGGTTTTAACATGTTACTTTGTAGTTATTAGTTTAACCTTTG